TATGCGAGACGGATTCTTATATTATGCCTTTAGATTCCTTGGGGGAACATAGGTTCGTAAGATATCGTTACGGTTTCTGTAACAAGCCAGTTTTTATGTGAGTAGGTTGTAAGCCTACTGCACAACCCCTAAACCTGGAGGATCACACTATTTCGTCCAGCTCCTACCTGACAGACCTGTTGAGCTTGGTTGGACTTTCTGAGCGCCAAAACCCTCGCTCACATAGCTCTGGGGGGTCGTTGAAGCACGCAAGCCGTCCTACCACGTCAAGACGACACACCATCGGGATATGGCTCCTACCCGACAGACCTTTTGAGCTTGGTTGGACTTTCTGAGCGCCAAAACTCCCGCTCACATAGCTCTCAGGGTCGTTGAAGCACGCAAGCCGTCCTGCCACGTCAAGACGACACACCATCGGCATATGACTCCTACCCGACAGACCTGTTGAGCTTGGTTGGACATTCTGAGCGCCAAAACCCTCACTCACATAGCTCTGGGGGGTTCGTTGAAGCACGCAAGCCATCCTACCACGTCAAGACGACACACCATCGGGACAGGAGATGGATTCTTGTGAGAAACAAATTGTCTGGCACAATACAACGAATCCATTTTCCTAGCAGATGACTCATTTTTATTTTAATCATTTCACTCCAAGCATGGCAATAAAGCCACTAAGACGCAAACGGTCACTGAGAGGCTATGTGAAAAAGAAAACATTATTTAGGAGAGAAAAAAAAGAACAGGAATTAAGAAGACAAAAGATAGCGATTGACATTGATTGGCGTTCATTTTTTGAAGATCAGAGCTGACTGGAAAGTAAGAGACAAGAAGAACGTTCTACAGATGTGAGGTGCGAAGGAAGAAATTGTTACCATTGGACTTACGGTTAGATCTAGCCATTTCAACATTAAAATGATGAGACCTAGTCGCCAATCTAGTACTGCGCTAAAATTCATTGAGTCGAGGTACCAAAGTAGAAAGCAATATTTATTTTGAATAATACAAAAATGTGGCACAAGGCCAAGAGGAAGGCTAGTCTTCAAACTGTCTTATCTTAAAATTACCTAGCCACAATTACTGACCCAAACATACCATAGTATTCCTTACACCAAAACAATACATTCTTACTTAGCATTTTTAATACAGCTACCATAATACTTCAAGGTCTCTATGTAGTTCTTACTTATCCACATATGTACAATTTGTCTGTGGGGTGGGAAGAAAATGACAAAAATTATCATGAAAATATTTATAGAAAAGATACAGGGACGCTACATTACGGCAATTGGATGGTGACTAAAGCCGAGATGCAATGTTAAGACCGGTGACATTGCAGATTCTTCTTTGAATTTTATCAAGAATCTTGAGTAAACGTCTTCTCTCTGTCTTTTTTATAAATCCTTTATAAATGACAGCTTATCTAAAAAAATAACTTTCAATCTGTTGTTAAATGGGGCAAGTAATGGCTTCTTACTTTTAATGCCTCCAAAACAAAAGATAATGATTTGGCTATTGAATCATTTACCTAGCAAGTGATTCAATATAATGGCCATACCATTTCAATTTTCTCTGATGCGATTCACATAGCAGACCCCAAGGATGGTACTGCAGCGTCTCTTTTCTAATCTGGATTCTTCGTTGTCATTCTGCTGCTAATGTCCAAGATATGCAGGCGTAGAGAAAGATCGAGAACGCCAATGCATTTAAACAGTCTGATCTTTGATTTTAGGCCCAGATGTTTTTGTTTTTCTAGATGCGGTGAATACCATTGCTTGTGACACATTTGTTATTTACCTGTTCCTCACGAACGGTTACCGAATCCCACTTTGAGAGATGGGATAAAAAGCTAGTGAAGTTAAGATGAAAGAAATACTAGTTAAAGGACTCGTAGAATTGTTTCCCATTTACACTGGAATATTTATTTTTTCGGCAGTTATTTTTCTCCTTGCCGCATTCAATTCCAATTGATAAATTCAAAATAGCTGAAAGGCCTTGCCATCCTTACAAATTGAGCTTACAGGGGACGATAAATATTGGGAATAATGCCACTGATTGTATCTTTTACTGAAATGTTTGCCTTTCAGCAGTAAAAAAAAAAAGCTTAGTAATTTTTAAAGTTGTTCAACAGATAATCAATATGCGATTTACATTATATTGGAGAAGTGTCATCATAAGAAAAATGACAACTGACATCAGTGATGACTTTTAGCTTTTTTTTTCTCTCTCTTTTTATTATGGGAGGCCATATAGGCAACGCATCGATCTTTCCAAAGTATGGCTCTCTTTATTATTAAAACAACTTGAGAGCAATGGCTTTTGGCCAACATATATATATATATATATATATATATATATATATATATATATATATATATATATATATATATATATATATATATATATATATATATATATATATATATATATATATATATATATATATATATATATATATATATATATATATATATATATATATATATATATATATATATATATA